CATATTTATGCAAAGTCTTGTGAGAATAAAGATGGAATTCCAATTAGTGTCAACCTCCTACTGTCTAGCGTATGCAGTGTACTATATCTCAGTATGTATAGTCTTTTCACGTATAATACTTACGTGGCATTTGCACATTACAATTAAAGAAGCACCTACTACTTGAAGTCAGCACTCGAGTTGAACTTTAGATTACCGGCTCGATAATTTCATGTTGTTTATGCCGAGAGAGGTGTGTCAACAAGGACAACAACAAAAAATGATATTCTATTGTAGAAATTATATTCGCATATTTGTGGAGGACGTATGTGGGAGAACGGGACTACGAAGAATCAATAGATCTTATGAATCACCGGGTGAGCTGTCTCGTAGAGTATAATAGAGTCGTTGTGTGACCGTTTTCTGCGGTCCCTAAAGAAAGCGATCCCTGATTTAATACAAGCCGGGGCTAAAATCGCCGAGGAGTCATGAATAGGAGCATTCGGGCATGGATGAGTTGAATAGAACATGGGTGTGGGGAAGTTTACCAACTATTTGTTACCGCCGATTCGGGTAGTCTCCTACGTTATCCATAACGTAATAGCTGCCAGTAGTACTAGACGGGTTAAGTGAACAGGTTCTTACGAGAATTTGATATTTTTCCCGTACATGGAGAGAGAGAAAGAGAGAGAGAGAGAGAGAGAGAGAGAGAGAAAAGAGAAGCATAGTTTAGAATTATCAGACCGAGAAGGGGATATATAGACAGAGGGAGAGACTTTGATCATTGCGTGGGTGTGGAAGACAGTGATAAGGAAAGAGACTGGTGCGTGTGTCAGGTGGAGAGAAAGGGGGAGAGAAGAGATATAAAGAGAGAGAGAGAGAGGGTGGGGAGAGTGAGGTAAGGAGAAATTAAAAAGTTGAAAAGGATAGAGGGAGAAAGAGCTAGGAGAAAGGGACGATACAGAGGGAGAGAGTGGTAGGAGAGAAAAGGAGAGATATGGGGGTGGGGTAAAGAGGGGGAAAGCGGGGAGTCGCATGTAGAGTGTAAATTGCGTGGTATCGGCCTGCACGAATGAAAGTGAATTTATTTTTAAAAAAATAAGGAAGGTGGGCTGTGTGTACAGGGAGGATTAAAGAGTGTACTTAAAAGATGAAGCAATTGAAGGTGGAAAAGGTTACGTCACAGTTGTACAAAGTGATCTTCAGGGGTACGACCAACATTCTGAAAGGCCTGCTGGCCCTTTTGTAAAAAAAAGAGTTTCAAAAGTCGATTTGCCTATAATCATCAAACACAGGGCCTGTTTGCAGGTACAGGGTGAGGCAAAGCGGCCGGCGAGTCCAGAATTGAGAATGCCACTATATCATATCATTGCGGAGCAGCGTTTTCGTACAAAATATTAGAGCTTAAAGATAAACTTGAGTTCTTGTAAAAAAAAAGAAAATGAATTCCCACAGAATCTAACGAAACTTACATTGAATGTTCAAGATTAAAAATAAATGTCATGTGCCAAACAATTTTGGAAGAAAATGTATACTGGCTGAGTAACGAGCATAGAAAGATAAGGAAATCAGAGTAGTACTAGCCCCGACACCATGTGTGTTGTCCCATATACATCTTTCTGTGTAAGTGATTGTTACTTTATCAAGACTCTGCCAAATTTATGATGATTTTGATGACTCCAGAACCTTGCATTACACACCATTACTTACATGCTATATGATCAACTTTTCTGATCCATTCCACACCTTTTCTTTCAATCGCATTACCAGAACTCAAGTTTATCTTTAATTATACATTATCGCTTTTATGAAAATGACAGTTAACTTGTATAGGCAAATATATTGATAAGTAAATGACTAAAACAATCTAGCAGAGAAACCGATCGAGAGAGGGATAGAGAGGGGAGGAGACGAAAGTCATTACAGAAATTAATATTGGGGGAAAGAGATAGATACGAGAAATCATGTACACCAAAGTCCCCTTTAAATGCACTCATCAACACTACATGTATGTGTGTGTACATATGTATGCGTATGTGTACATGTGTATTAGTTCTCCAAATAGGAACTTTGAACGTATGTTTGTTTTCCTGTATCACGCTTTTAGTTTGAACTTCAATAGCTCGTTAAAAAACCACTGCCTGATGGAATCGGGTGGTTCCTGTATCCAAATATGGGAATGATGGGTTAAGCTTGATCTCGTATACAGCAAGAACACTGGAAATATTCCTTTAAGTTAACACTGTTTACAGTCAAGGTAATTTTCATTTCTTTATTTTCCTTTTTGAGGTGTGTCTTTTAAAGGATTATGCTTTGTATCTGTATTGAGCACCTTGCCCGCATATGTTATCTTGCCTTGAGACAAGAAAAAAAACTTTGGTGTTTCTTGCTTAAATCATGCTCAAGATCTTATTGACTATCGATGGTGTCAGTTTTAACACCCTTTCTCTTTCTTGGCCTATGGCCGCTCTATGCATTATGTATGTGAATAAGTGTTACCGTGGCCGTATAACTGGACTGTAATAGGGCCCCAAAAAGGAAACTAGGCACCCCCCCCCCCCCCCCACCGCGTAACCACCTCATTTTCTACCAATCGAGCAAGTTGAAAACTAATTTAGAAAAGGCAAACAAATCAATCTCGCATATTACAGTTTTGTTCGGGCTGTATACATGTACAATAAGTGAGCTGTGATATAGGTCCAGTCGTTCGACACGGTAGAAATCATACACTGAATCGGCCAAATTCCGCATGGGGGTATCTCAAAGGAAACTCGACCTCATAAAGTGGTCATCAAGTGAATGAATACTTTTTTGAACAAGTGTTTCATTTATTCAATCGAATTCCTTGCTTGCGGCTTTACAATGTCTGTATTATCAGGGTGGATTTAAGCCGAATGACCTCCCACGTAAAAAATATATATTGTTTGCATTTTTCTCACTCGCACCTCAGTCACACCAAAGAGGCACGACACCAGACTTAAAACAGATCGAACAAAAACTCGCATTACGCCGAATGGGCCCCAACTTAGGTCGGTTTTTTGGTCAAAGGGGACGCAGGGTGTAACTGAGGTCATAAGCTAGCACGTTGAATCGTTTTGTTCCATGACCCCGACCATAACTTTATCTTATAACGTGACCGATCTGAATATACTTCTTCCAAAAGCATCACGGGCATATTTGGGGACAATAGTTATTTGCTAAGGGCTATTTTCTTCTATCCGAAAAATTAATGGGCTTTTTTCATTTTCTTAATATTTTGAGCTGCAGCAACGAGATAACAAAATTGTAATGACTAAACGATGAGAGCTAAATCCTGAAAAAATGCCATCTGATTGGTGACTGGTTAAAATCTTAGTTATTGGCAATCAATTTTTTTTGGTCATAATGTCAAATCAAATTGATTGTGTAATAATAAGTTTTCGAACATTTGTTTTAACGCATTTTGTGTAATTAAGTAATTTAAGGTAGAATGATATAAATATAAAATAAATTAAAAAACATTTAACAAAAACCATCTCCCTGCCAAATGTAAGTTAAAGAATAGTAATTGTGACTAAACATCTGTCCCACCTCATCCCCGCAATGTTCATACCTATAGATGAAAAGGAATGCCTGTTACTGGCATGTCAAAAAACTAGGGGTATTTTTGGAAAAAATAATTTAGATATTTGAGAAAAAGGGCATCCGCGGTTCTATAAAGGAGGCCTTTAATAAATGATAATTATAGGCATTTCTATAGCGCTGTCTATCTAGAAATTACATTCCGAGGCACATTACTTATGACCCCTAGCCGAAGGACATTAGTGTCGTGTCGGGGATCGAACCACGACCTTTGAATTGCAAGTCAAGTGCTTAAACCACTCGACCACGACATTTTGGAGGGTTGTGACAGCTTGAGAGCTCTTGCATTCATTTGTTAACCCACCCCCCCCCCCCCAGATTTCCCCCTTGAAAAGGTCTTCTCAAGAGGTCATGTATATTTAATACCATACCCTTAAAGGATATACAAACCATTTTAGTGTGTAAATTGTATTCATTTATTATTAAGGTATGATGTTAAAGCTAGAGGACTAAGTCTCGGTGGGCTAGCATTAACTTGTATCGAGATATGCAATTGTTTATAATGCATGTAACACTCGGGATAGGTCGAGTGACGTAACACAGCGAACACAAATAAGAAAGTTAGGAATGTTTAGATTAAGAGCAATCAATCCAACATAAATTGGCAACACTGTGACGTATCATGTGAGTCCCATTCCATTCATTTCCTTAGTTATTGATGCCGGAATACATTTTTTTTTCATACAGGGGTGGTGTAGAAAAATATTTGCAATAGTTATATTTAGGATGCATGTATGATTGAAAATTTTCTTGAGGGTAAATATTTGTGTATTATTTTTAGTACAGGGCCCCGTCTTATAAGGAGTTCATATCAATCGTACCTATGTACATAAGAGATGGGAGACTGCTAACTTGTGATTGGAGGACTTGCGATTGATTTAGCTAATGCGAGGAGAGCTCGCAAATACGTCACAGGGTAAAGTTGCCAATTTGTGTTTGATCGATAACAACTTCAAACATTCATAACAATTTTTGTTAAATAGGAGTTTGCTCAAACTTTCACTTTTCTCATATTTCGGTTTCTATTAACAACTTAATATAAGAGTAAACTTTCCCTGTAAGGATTCACTTTTCCTGTGGTGCACATAACGCCCTTCATACATAAGTCATAATTTGTATTGCGTTATTACCTGCGCTTATAAATGCTGTGAAGGCAATGAGTACATATACAGTACAAGCCATATTTGCACTTTTGTGTACGATATTGCCCTCACGTACACGGCGCGTCAAACTTGCGTCAATTTCCTGACGCACACTTACATCAGGCAGCTGACGCCTCAAGTGCAAAAATCCAAAGTTACACCTCCAGCGAATTTTCGTTGCTTCAAGCAAAGGTTTAGTAAATTATCTTTAATTGATATAAATTTAATACCTAGACATTACCTGAACTATACATACATTTCCAAATTTCTTCAATTGTTTGGAAAAACGGGTCATTTGTGAGCGCTCTCTATCTTTTCTCTTCTTCCTCTTTTTTGTTTTATGTACTCTCTCTCTCTCTCTGTCACTCTCTCTTTCTCTTTGTCTCCATTATCATGATGACATTTTTTTTTTATCTCTCTCTGTCAGTTATGTTCACACTGAATCTGTTAAAATCGAGCAAATTACTAAATCATAGCCATAGGTAGTCAGATGGTTTTGTCAATATCGCCTTGCTCTCTTTTACAATAATTATGAGAAAAAAATCACACGCAAATATGCTTATACGGTTACAATAATTGAAAGCCACGATGCCACGTATGACATATCGTCTAAATGACATCGCCAATGGCTAAGTATAAAATCATTAGCATAATTATGAATTCTCTTCAAATCAAGCTGTACTTACCT